GCTTTGAAAGTGTTTCTACAGATCACTTGTTAGATACAAAATAGAAAATAGATCTATAAAGAAAATGATGATTTTTCTCAACGAATCTATGAAATTCTCTTCGTAAAGATCATGAAATTTTCTTCATAAATCTGTGAAAACATTTTAAACAACGATGATGCAAATCTTATGTAGTACGTATATTTGAGCACAATATATAGCTATAAATATCATACGTATTTCCATAGTTGATATTTGAGTACTTCAAATTAATTCTTAACAGTCCCAGTCTTCGACTGAAATATCTAAATCAACGCAAATGGGGATTCCGGTATTGATTAGACCGAAAGGAAAGGGGAAAAAAAATACTATGTTATATAAAAATCACAGTTCATAAAGGACAGTTCAGAATAACTTGTACAAAATGAGAATCAACGCGTGACAATAAATAATAAAAGAGTCCAATGTGACAGTGTCTAACAATAAGCTTACACAAAATGGAGCTGCAATTTCTAAAATAAATATTAAATTCGGCTTTCGAAAAGTATGTCAGACATCTCGTCAATAATAATAACCGACGTATATGTCGTGTTCTTGTTCCTTTCTTATTTCTACTTATCGAGCAGATTGACACAGCTCGATCATTTAATACCGGGACACCCTTGTGCAATTTATGACCCTTGAGGTACTTTTAGAAAGCTCTCGTGAATTCAGGCCAACCCTTTAAACGGATATAATCGCCATTCACCTCAGATGGATTAACATCAAAATCGATCGCTTTAAAGATGGCAGCTATTATCGTGGGTTCTTTTTACCAATACAATTCACGCTCTATCGCTTAAAAATCCTCCTTATTCTTATTATTTCTCTTTAAAATTTAAAGAAATAGCGATTTATCGATTTATTATATAATTTGACACTTTATACAATAAAGGCTGTTGGTATATTAATAATTTTACTATGAAATTCAATTCGAAGCTTTACTAAAAGTAGAAGATGCCCTGAGACTTTCACGCAATGAAAGTAACAATGCAAGAGGTGATATTTTCAAAATCTTAAAAATCTCTTTTTGTATTCTATTTCTGAAATGATTATATTTTTTAGTGCAAAAGGTGATAAATATTTGCAACCTCTACGATCGTAAAGCCGTCCTTGATACTAGTATCAAAGTGCAACAGATTGTTTTAAAATCGATTGCACTTGCGAAAGCGTAGTGCTAATTCGTGAAATGTAAAGTGTAATAATTGAAGAGGACAGAAGAAATATGATAAGTCTTCTTTTTTCAAGTTTTTTTACGGAAGATCAATTTTGTAACATTAGATCTTTCATGAAGCGTCGCAGATTTGCTTTTATATATATATATATATATATATATATATATATATATATATATATA